AATAGAATAGAAAATAGAATAGAATAGAAAATAGAATAGAATAGAAAATAAAATAAAATAGAATAGAAAATAGAATAGAATAGAAAATAGAATAGAATAGAAAATAAAATAGAATAGAAAATAAAATAGAATAGAAAATAGAATAGAATAGAAAATAGAATAGAAAATAGAATAGAAAATAGAATAGAAAATAAAGTAGAAAATAGAATAGAAAATAGAATAGAATAGAAAATTGAATAGAATAAAAGAATAGAATAGAGTGGAATGGAATGGAATGGAACAGAATAGAAAACTTTATTGGCCAAGTGTGATTGGACACACAAGGAATTTGTCTTTGGTGTAAAGCCACACCTTGGAGGTGATTGGCCCCTTCCAGAGGAAACAAAAGAGGAGCGAATGAGGAGGGGGCTTTTGCAGGAATCAATTTGTTCCTTCACTCGTTTCGAGAGTGGAAAGTTCTGTTTGTGGCTATAAGAGATACTGTGCGAAGGGTTGCCTTGCCCTGCGTTTGGAAACTAGTTATCTGGCAGCTCTCCAAGTGAGATAAAGTTCGTGTTGATAAACATTCCTCTGAAAGACTGCTTGCCAAGCCTTGGGGACTCTGAATGAAAGGAATTCACAGTCGTGTAAATAAGAGACGTTTTGCCGGGACCCAGACTCTGCTTCTTGCTTTCTAAGGAAGCCTGGGTCAGAACAGGATCTGAAAGCACAGGGTAAAAAAAAAAATATCCCAATTTTTTCAGTCCTGCATTGGTAACCTTTTCCTCAATTATTTTTTCCCAGTGGTGCTGTACGCTCCCGACATCGTGCTGATCGAGCGGAATTTGGGAAAGAGAGTGGATGAAATGACTGGAGGTAATTACCGAAGCCCTCTGCCATTCCAGACAAATGGTTGTCCAATCTCTTCTTAAATGCCTCCAGTGATGGGTGCACCCACAATTTCAGGAGGCAAATCATTCCCCTGATTAATTGTTAATTTCTCCTTAGCTTTACATTGCTTCTCTCTTTGATTAGTTTCCATCCGTTGCTTCTTGTCCTGCCTTCTGGTGCTTTGGAGAATAGGTTGAGCCCCTCTTCTTTGTGGCAGCCCCTCAAATATTGGAACACTGCTATCATGTCATCCCTACCCATTCTCTTCATGCATCCATCTTTCATCCCATCTCATTCTGAACCTCTCCGAACCAGAATTGGCTGCCTGATGCCCTTCAGATATGTTGTCCATTAAAGCTTGTACAGTCGGTGAAGATTACCGTATTTTTCGGAGTATAAGATGCTCTGAAGTATAAGACGCACTTAGCTTTTAGGGAGGAAAACAAGGGAAAAATATCTGCCTCTGCCTCCCAGCAATTTGCCTCCTTGCAACAAACAGTACAATAGCAATAGCAGTAGACTTATATACCGCTTCATAGGGCTTTCAACCCTCTCTAAGAGGTTTACAGAGAGTCAGCATATTGCCCCCAACAATCTGGGTCCTCATTTTACCCACCTCGGAAGGATGGAAGGCTGAGTCAACCCTGAGCCGGTGAGATTTGAACTGCTGAACTGCTGATCTAGCAGTAGCCTGCAGTGCTGCATTTAACCACTGCGCCACCTCGGCTCTTGTACAGACAATATACACTGTTTGTAGTGTTATATTTCAGACTATACTTGTACAGATGTTGTTAAAATAGATGTGCTTTCTGAGAGTATAGTTATTCTCTGCTATTTAAAAGAATATCACTTTTTAAAACAATAGCACTGGGCCTCTTCAGATCAATCATTTATTTTAAAAAGCTTCTTCGTTTTGTTAAGTTGTCTAGAACAACAATAAAGCAGTCTTTAAAAAAAATAAGTCTCCTAATTTGAACATTCTATAGGCATTTATAGTTGTTGACTTACCCCTCCTTGCAGCAAACAGCCTGATTAGCACAAGGGGAAAAAAAATCTGCCTCCTAGCAATTTGCCTGGTGGAGCAAACAGCAAGTTTCACTTTCAGTTTCTCCCGATCATCAGCTGTTACAGGCTACAGGGGTTGCTATAGCCTATTGAAGCCTGCAAAGAGGTAGATTGCTGGGTGGCAGAAGCCAAAGGGTTGGGGCCAGTGGGTGGGTGGGGCTACATTCAGTGTGTAAGACGCACGCAAATTTTCACCCTCTTTTAGGGGGGGGGAAGGTGCGTCTTATACTCTGAAAAATATGGTAGATTTGTGGACTGGAGAATATGGAATTAATCATCCACAACACTGAGAGACAACCAGCCTCTATTCTAGGGGGGCAAGTAGAGAGATATTCTGTATCTCAGATGTCCCATGAACTGCTCTTCCGAATACTCTCCAAGAATAAGATTCGTTTGCAAGTTAAATATTGTTTTAGGCTTTTAAGTCAAATCTGTCTCATGCCTGGTCTTTATCCCAGAGGTGTATCATACGACTTTTGATTGGCCCGCCGATGACATCATCCGTTGGCGTTTGAAGGCCCCTGAAGGCATATCTGAGAAGGAGACCTCTCAGAGGTTGCTGGAATATCACCGGAACGTCCCAGGGATAGTCCAGTCCTTTGAGAAGTCCATCAAGCTGATCAATGCAGACCAACCCTGCGCAGATGCCTTCTGGCAAGGTAGGGACAGGCTGGGCGCAACCTTCACGTGTGAATCGTCCTCGGGATGGAATGGTACCAAACGGTAGACCAGTGTGTCTCAACCTTGGCGACTTGGAGGTGGCTCCCAAAATTATATATCCCCAAAATTTATCCCAAAAAGCTGTGGGGGTTTGAGGATGCAACAAGGGAGTCAGGTAGAGCATTCCAGGCATTGACCACTCTGTGGCTGAAGCATTTTCTGCAATCGAGTTTGGAGCAGTTGACCTTGAGTTTGCATCTATTGTATTATTGAGGTTGAAGCTGAAGTAGTCGTTGACAGGTAGGACCTTGTAGCAGACAATTTTGTGTACTATGCTTAGATCAGGTCATAGGCGGCATAGTTCCAGGTTGCCCAAGCCCAAAATTTCAAGCTGGATGGTATAAGGGGTTCTGTTGTGAGCAGAGGAGTGGAGGACTCTTCTCGTGAAATACCTCTGGACTCGCTCGATCGTATTAATGTCTGATATACAGGGCGGATTCCAGGCAGATGAGCTGTATTCGAGGATTGGTCTGGCAAAGGTTTTGCATGCCTTAGTTTGCAGTACAATGTTACCGGAGAAGAAACTTCGCAAAATTAGGTTGACAACTCTTAATGCCTTTTCGGCAATGCTGTTACATTGAGCTCTGGGGCTTAGATCATAAGAGATGAGTATTCCAAGGTCCTTGACCGAGTGAGAGTCATCGACAAAGTCATATCCGCCCCGCTTGTATTTGGTGTTCTGATTTTTCTTCCCAATGTGTAAGACAGAACATTTGTGGGTTGAGATTTAAAGTTGCCAATTGTCTCATTCGGTTTGGTTCGTTGCCTTGGCTTTGAACATGGCTTCGTTTGCGTTCGTTTCGGCTCTTCAACAGGAAAATGGGAGAAATCGCTCTCTGTAAAGTCAGCCTTTTAAAATAATAATAATAATTGCTCCATTCTCAGCCGTCGGGCGCTGATAGACTCTTTGCACAACTTCACTCTGCGTTTATGCGTTTCGGGGGGAAAAAAGGCCTCTCGCTAATTTGAAGGCCTCTGTTTTTAAGGTAAACAAGCCCGCCGAAGTTTATATTTGGAGTTTTACAAATTAATTACCTCTTAAATTACTTAATTAAATTTAAAAGTTCACATCATCGTTCATAAACAATTCATGCCTCAGATTGCAAATGCGTTGTGCGCAGCCTGAATATTAATTATCGTTAATTAATAATGCAGTGAGAGAAATTGAAAATTGGAATGATAAAAAATAAACAAACTTCCCTCCCTCTTTCTTTCTTTCTTTTTTTTTTCCAGTGGAGGCATCTAAATTATTTCTTTCTTTATTTCTTTTTTTAAGAATAATTAGAAGTGGAGTCTAGGGGATCATTACTCCTAATTAACTTGGTTATTTACTGCAAATTAAGCGTCATTTGTAAGCAGGCTGGTTAGCCTGAATCTTGGATATGCCAGCTTGGGGAGAAGAGACATAAGCTAAGTCTGTTTAGCTGATGTTTATTTGGAGTTCAACTTGTGCTCTGAAACTCGGAGGAGCTTCGGTTTGGAGCATCTGTAAGTTTGAAAACTTCAACAAGTTTCTTTCACCAGTAAGGGATGCAGTGTGTAAACAGAGAATTGGGAACCTCTGGGGAGATAATTTATGTAATGGGATAAGGAACAGGTTCCTGATATGTATTAGAATAGAATAGAATAGAATAGAGTTGGAAGGGACTTTAGAGGTCTTCTAGTCCAACCCCCTGCTTAGGCAGGAAACCTTACACCACTTCAGACAAGTCGTTATCCAACATCTTCTTAAAAACTTCCAGTGTTGGAGCATTCACAACTTCTGTTGGCAAGTTGTTCCACTGATTAATTGTTTTAACTTTCAGGAAATTTATCCTTAGTTCTAAGTTGCTTCTCTCCTTCATTGGTTTCCACCCATTACTTCTTGTCCTGCCTTCACGTGCTTTGGAGAATAGCTTGACTCCCTCTTCTTTGTGGCAACTCCTAAGATAGTGGAACACTGCTATCATGTCTCCCCTGGTCCTTCTTTTCATTAAAATAGGCATACCCAGTTCCTGCAACTGCTCTTCTTATGTTTTAGCCTCCAGTAATTCTGTTTAT